AAATTATTCTCACACACACACATATTATAAATATATATATATATATATATATATATATTGTTGATATAATAATATTTTTTATATATTTATATCTAAATTTAAATCATAACAACTCGTGTGGTCTTGTGGTTCTGTGTCTTCTATTACACAGTGTTAGTGCAGATTCGAATCCAACACCTTATATCTATTTCTTCCAATTAATTCTAACGAGCTAATTTAGAGCCGAAGAACGCACTATTCACGAGCCTATTTTGAGCACGAGCTATTCAGATCGAGCTGAACACGAGCGAAGCCTGAGCTCGATCAAGCTTGCCTCGTTTACAACCCTAATTACACGAGGGAGCGTATTTATTTATAGGTGTCTACCCACCTATAGATCTTCTCTTGTCTTCTTGTCCTCTTGTCCTCTTGTCCTCGTGTCCTTGCATCAGTGTGGGTGTAGCAATTTCATAGAGGGAGCATATTTCAGCAGAGGTGCATGTATCCTTTTCTTTCTCTTATTATTATTATTATTTTTTCATTTCTGCCCATTTTGTCGATAGTGTTGTGCGAAATGTTATTTGCTAATTCCTAGCACGGTTCTGTTGGTACAATTTCACATTAGCATTATTTGCTTAGCTTTATATTTGTGTTGGTTTATTTTGTGTTCTACTTGCTTTGTTTTCTATTGTTTCAGAGATCAAGTACAATTAAAAAATATGTAGGCCGAGGCAATTATGAATTTATACGAGGCAGTTGTGATATCTGTAACATATTAACCAAATGGAGCCAGATAATTAATTGATACTGTTATCTCTATTCTCGATTAATATTTAAAATCAAAATAGGATTTGGATGCTAATTTTGAGTTTTCTAGGTTTCACTACTCAAACTAAATTTTTTTTCAAAATTGCAGGACAACTTGTCTTTCCCCCTTATTTGTCAAGACTGGAATGCAGATGAGGAAATACTTCTTCTTGAGGTATTTTCTCATTGTTGATATGATAAGTATTACACCCTAGTGCATATTGCTGTTGTTTTCATTATTCCAGATTCTATAAAAAAGCTCACAGAGCCTGTTTTACATACTTTAAGGGTATAGAAATGTATGGATTGGGCAACTGGACTGAAGTGGCTGAGCATGTTGGTACCAAGAATAAAGAACAATGCATCAACCATTATACAGCCTTGTACATGAATTCTCCTAGCTATCCTCTTCCGGTATTTAGCTTTATCCATATTTTGTTGTTTTTTTTTTGTACTTTTTAAGTATTAACCTCCTATTTCTCATTATGCATTTCATAGGATATGTCTCGTGTTAATGGAAAAAATAGAAAGGAACTTCTTGCTATGGCTAAAGCACAAGGCGAGGGCAAGAAAGGTTTGCAATATTGTTACATTGCACCTTTTATACTAAGCATTTGTTTTTGCCACTAATGAAATTTCTTTAACAGAAATTATAGCAACACACACTAGAATTGAGTTTAAAGGTTCTTTAGTAGTCATGTCATCAACTGGTCAAACTGAATTGTGTCAATTTGAAATAACTATCATGTTTTTGCCTTTTTATCTGTCGTTATTATTCAGTTTGGTGGGCCCTCCTTTAAGTGAAAAAGCACGCGATGTTTCTTCAAATGGAATATACTATTAATCTTAATATGGTTTCATCTCCTTGGAAGACTAATGCCTCAATGATCTCCCATTTTACCCTATTAATGTTGTTGTACACCCTGTTTCTTCACAATAACTTTTTAAATAGTTAATTTTTTTTTCAGGTATTCGCTTCCTTTTATTAGCTCATTTTGTTAATTTCAGTTCCTCAATTCATTATTTGGAATATTCTTATGTTTGTTAACTATTGCGGATTGTCTGATGTGATTTTTGGTATTGTATGCATGGAAAATGTTTCCAAACTTTTTGGGATGCTTTCTGCTGCTGTCTTAATCTACATTTTAGAAAAACCCGGGCATTTCAGAAATATATTATGATGCAAGGTTTATGAGTGATGTTTAATTGTATATGTAGGGTGAATTAGGAGGACTAAATTGATGTGGTTTGGAGCTTGGAAGTCTCGGGGAAGAGGGAGAACTAAAGGTGGATGAGAGCTTCAGGTGGGTATGGGATTTTCATGAAGGTTGATTTTAGAAATATATTATGATTTAGAAAAACCCTTTCTTAAAGGGGCATTTCCGAAATATATTATGATGCAAGGTTTATGAGTTATGGTTAATTGTATATGTAGGGTGAATTAGGAGGACTAAATTGATGTGGTTTGGAGCTTGGAAGTCTCGGGGAAGAGGGAGAACCAAAGGTGGATGAGAGCTTCAGGTGGGTATGGGATTTTCATGAAGGTTGATTTTAGGGCAGGGTTTTTAGAGGGAAAATTATGGAATGAAGTAATTTAATGGATGGATTAGAATTCGAGGAAAAGGATCCGGTGGTCATTTGGGGCTCAACTTGAAAATATTGGTTTTTGGAATTGAAGAAATGGAGGATGGCTATATTGAAAATAGATTTTGTAGACTTTAGCTATATACAAAGAAAGCTACCATTAGAAGTGTGAGAATGTAGGAAGAAGTTTCGGATCACCTGAGGGAAATATGAGAAGGAATGAGAGAAAGAAATATATCAAAACAAAGGAATAATAAGAAGTCACATTTTCTTACCAACGAAGTGTTGATTCAAACCAGTGATCAAGTCCTTCCAAAGTAGAAGAACGCTTCTCCAAAACCTGATTTCACTTTTTCAATTAGAATCTATATATTTTCACTCAGTAGATGTCATTTTTTCATACATACTAGCTTACGAATGAAAAAGACAACATTAATAGTGGTGGTGCTCATAGAGGGATCAAAAATTCAATACATGCATGAATGAAGCTTGGAAAAATACGAAGGCTCTGGAAATTTTTCATTCATGAATATTTGATTTTGTATTTAAACCAGGGGAAATGTCCTTTAAGGTTCCCTTGCCTGGCTTTGACTTTTTGACTTCTTGCTTTTGCTTGAATACATTAACTAGTAGTGAGCTTGAGTCTAGTATTTGGGATAGGTTGACTAAAGATGAGCTAACCTTTATGGTTTCCACCTTTGCATACATCACTGTATCACAACCACTACTACTAATAATTATTTAAAAATATTCTTGAAATAAAATTCTGTCTCCTAAAATAAAACAAGAACTATACAAATAAATATAAAGTAGAATTTACATTGTTAAGAACATGTGGGCAGGGTCATCTACCTTGCCTTGGCTTTTTGTTTCCAATTTGTATTAATTTCTAATAATATGTCATTTTTGTGCTGTCATTTTTCATTGACATTTCAAGCACATACCAACAATAATAGTGTTGTCGACACGGCATAAACTCTTCACATTAATGAATTATGAAAATGAATTTGTAAAGCTTAACCCAAATAGTTGAATAAGTCTATTGATGATGATGATGGTCCATGCTAAATGTGTTATAGCACACATGCTTTTAAAGTGATGCAAAGAGATGGGTAGAGTTCTTATTAAAATAAAGTGAAAACCAATGGCTCAGTGCCGAAACCTTCTTATAAAAGTGCTTCTATGTTTTGAACCTTTTTGTGGTTGATTTGTTTTCGTAGTTTCTTTTATGCTTAGGACTCGTATTATTTTATTGCTTAAATTTTACCCTTTAGATGCTTGATATTTTTTTCTAGAGAAATATGTATTTCTTGTGGAGAGCGTGTTTATTGTGATTTGCTAGTAAATATAGGTCTTATAGTTTCATCGATGCTAGAATTAATTTTTAGATTACTGTTGGTCAACTTTTCGATGGATTTGTGAAAATACGATTTTCAAAAATTTAATTTAAATATAAGATATATAGTTTAGATTATGAAAGTATTGTTTTTAATTTTTAGAAAATGAGACCGAATGGATTTCATTAATCTAAGAGTTTGCATAATTGTGTCTGATAGCTTGAATACTACACATTCCGAGAGATAAGTGTAGACCCCTACGAGGAAATTACTTAGCAATAGAAAATTGAATTGTTTGAGACCGCACCTCTTATTGGAGGAAGCAGTTTTCATCCATTGTTTACCGCTCTCAGAGAATAGAGTGTTCATAAGATTGCGTTGCATTACCATCACCGCCTCACCGTCAGGGTGAAAAGAGAAAGAGACGCGAGCCTTTTGCCCAGATTCTCTTGGTGTTTGAAAGATTGGCACAGAAGGTGCGTTGCTCCGTCGTCGAGATAATAAGAAGGATGGGATGTGCCGTGTCGCCTCAAGTCTGAGCAGAGATTCTGAAAAAGGATGAACCCGCCCACCAATTGCATGGATCTACCCCAGGGGAAGAGCACTGCAACCTCATACTCCCGTTAAGCTTCGCCTGGGAGAACTTTTTGATATCGCTGCTACTCATGCCGTTACCGTTGCCGCCTCACGGAAGCCTGCGGAGTGCCGACCGATCTAGTCTCGCTTGGGTCCGAGGATACCGCTTGCCACCACAAAGGGAGAATCTCGAAAGAGGGATGATGACAAAATATCGCTTATTATCGCTTTCGGACCGTGCATTAGGTACCACGACTTATCTCGGAAAGCCAAGGCCGCTAAGGAGCCGTCTAGTCTCAAGACTTTGGTTCCGAAGGAGGGGTTGTTGAGACCTAAGGTCGTTGGACTAGTGTCGCAACAGGGATCAGAAGGATATCTCCTCGCAAAAGATTCTAAGTCCGATGCCCTAGTTGTTAGTGTCACGGTCGTGTCAAAGCCAGTGTTAATAGAGGATGTACAACAACAGTCCACTGTCGATCTCAAGATCTTTAAGGGGAAATCGATTGAAGAAACACTGGAAAAGCTCTGGGTCGACATCACTAAACTGTCAAAAGAATAGCAGGAAAACATTAATTATGAAGAATGCGGTTTGTCGGATCATATGGATGAAGATTTCGCAGAGATCCTTATGGTTGAGACTAGAGCCTCTGCGTCATCGCTCGATACTTTTTTGCCACCGAGGAGAACACCGATGAAGAGCTACAGAGAGCCATCCGACAAAAAGATGAACATATCATTCGAATGGAGAAAAAGATGGAGGAGATGATGGCCGTTATAACCACGCTTCGGAGTCGACCTCAATCTCCAAAAGCAGTCTCCCCAGAAGTAAACCAGTCAGAAATCATTCACATTTCAACCCTGAACACGATAACTAAATGGGATTTCAAACAGATGGTTGAACATGTGAAGCCTTAGCTCACTCAAAGGGAGGGGCATTGATTCTGAAAGGTAGACCTTACCTAGAAGAGTCTGATGTTGTACAATACCCAAAGAGTTTCGTACCATCATTGTTCAAGACTTTCGATAGGATTGACAACCCCCGACTGCATGTTGCACACTTTCGAGCAAGCTGATGAAACGCGGGGGTAGTGATGCGTTGTTGTTCCGTGAGTTTGTGAACAGTCTTTCTGGAGTTGCCTTCGACTGGTATGTAGAAGTACCCAGCGACTCAATAAAAACATTTGCAGAATTGGAAAACCTCTTTGTTAAGTGGTTCGTTGGAGCTCAGCACCATATCACCGTTGGTGATCTCGTGTTGAAGCGACAAAAACCAGCAGAAACCTTAGTAGAATATATTTTGCGGTGGCAAAATCTAAGTATGAAATATGAGCCACAATTATAAGAGCAGCATGCGATTGAAATCTTGCATAAAAGCATCCACGGTCCAGTAGCATTTCTATTTAAGGGATTTACCATCAAAACATTTGAGAAGCTACTCAGCAAAGCCGGAAGCTTGCAGGAAGAGGCCAAGCAATTGGGTTTTCTAGTAAAAGCTGAGAGGCCGAAGGCAATGAAGACATTCGAGAAAAGGTCTGAGACAGTGACAACGATTGATGGAGGCAAACGACCGATACAGATAAAGTCAGAACAGTCAAGGCACAAATACCAACCTTCTCAACGGTACAGTCAGCAGTCATTTCAACAAAAAACAATATAAGATGAATGGAAGGCGACCTCCGACCATAGAAGAACATTTGAATAAGATATATCCTTTTAAGAATGAAGTGGTAGGAAAAATGTTTCGCAACTTTATCAAGAAACCTGAATTCCGGCTACCTGAGCCCAAGAAGCTAGAAGAGGTGGATAAGGACCATCCATTGTATTGCCCATATCATAGAATGGTCAGACAATTATAGAAAATTGCTTCGCTTTCAAGAACCAGCTCGAAAAGAACTTCGAGAATGGAAACATAACAATTCCAAAAAAAAATATGTGAAGGAACCTGAAAATGGTTCTATCAATATAATTTATGTTGATCCAATTATTCCAATTGACTTTTACACGACTACGCTAGTGCTCGATGAAAGAAATGATGCTCATACAAAAATTTCCAACTGACCTTAAAGTTTTCATAGGAAAGTCGATCGAGGCTATGTTGGAGAGGCTCCGAACCGACATTACATGGTTGTCTGAAGAACGGAGAAAATAGATAGGTAACGAAGACTATGGTCTGTCAGATTACATGGGGGAAGAATTCACAGGAATCAACATTGTTGAGACCAGAGCCTCTTCATCACTGCGTGATGCTCCATCGCCTGTCGAGGAGAACGCTGTTGATGAGTCAACAACGTGACGAAAAAACCAAAAATGTGACATAAACCTCAAACCCTTAAACCTTGCAACTATTACTACACCAGGAGGCTCAGAGCTAACTTCGTGGGCAACACGGCGAAGAGCTTGGACCGAGCAACTAGAGAATCTTCTTCAGCAATCCATCTCCCTAGTCTAAATAACAACTCATAGGACTTCGAGGTAGCTCGCCCAACGCGACGTAAATCTTCACACCCTCTTTAGACACTTGTGCAACCATGTTGTGCAGCGTAAGTTCTAACTCGCCTTAGGATCTGAGGTTGTCGTCCGGTAGGACATAAACCCTCATATCTCTGCGGGTTATTTGCATAATCGGGTATTATGCAAGTCCAAATTTTAAATAATAAAATTGGCAGGGTTAAACACTTAAATAATATCGTCTCTAAAATGCAGCCACACAGTAGGATTGTTTGAAAAGTCATTAAGGGTTCTTCTCTGGATCTGTGACGTCCCCACATTTTTCTTCTTTTGGACTCCTGAAATAACTGCTCTTATTTGGTCCTTTCCTATTTAATTTTTCGCATCATGTCCTTGAAACCTAAACCTTGAATTCTTGAAAACTAGTACCTCTGATCATCATCAAGAGTTTTCTCAAATTACCTCAATCATTTGAGATTAATTAACTATAGAGGTTTGCCTCTATAGGGAATTTGAAACCTAAGTAAAATAAACTCTACTTAATATTTATATTATTTAGGAAAGCTTGTTGGTCACACATAAAAGGTTCGCAAGCCAAACAAATGTCGCAAATCTTTTAGTTTACATGATTGGGTTCACCGTCGAGGTATACACTTATCTTTCGGGAATGTATAGTATTCGCGGTATCAGGTACAATTATGTAAACTATTAGACGAATGGTCTCATTTTTTAAAAATTAAAACACCGCTATTTTCAAAATACAAAAATTATATACCTTTTACATTAATATAAACCTAAAAATTATTGTTATTTTTTTTAATAATGACCGACAAAGATTTAGTTTGATATTTGTTTGAACATAAGGCGACATGGAAAATTTGATTTTTTTTTAAACTTCTCCTACACATCTAATTAGTATTTTTTTGTCTTAAAAGTGGTCGTTATTTTTCATGAAGGGCCCCTTTAATTCATTGCTCTCGTGTTGTACCTTGAATATGCTTGTTATGTGTTATTAATGATTTCGGAATCTATAATTGGTTCTTCCAGATTCAAAACATGCTTGAGACATTAGGCTGGTTTTTTTTAAAATTTTCTTATTTTCTTATGTTGGACTTCTACAGTATGTTTTGCCATGGGATACTGTTTTTTTTTTTTGTTTGTTTGGCATTTAGTTGAAATTTTTTTTGTGTTTTTTTACCTGTTTTTTTGATGCAATTTTACAAATTAACCTTGTTATTCTTCCATAGGAATATCGGTGCTTGGTGACGCTACACCCAAAGAGGAGTCTCCTTTCTCTCCTTCAAGGTTCAAGTGAGCTAGATACTGACTGGATCTTGTCCTTATATCTAAAATGTAAAGGTATTTTACTCGGTGTTCTTCCTTGATTTATTTTCCTTAGGTTTGAAGAATTGAGCGGAGAAGTTCTTGCTGGACGGTCACCATCCGGTTTAACCGCTGGTATGCCATCTTTAAATTGCTTTAGTAATTTAAATGCTGTCTTCTTAGAAGCTTATGTTTAAATTCTGTGCTTGTATTTTGCCATAACTGAAAATGTATTTTACACTTAGGTGCTTCTAAAAAAGTCTCAAATATGGGACAGCTTAAAGATGTTTCAGATGGAACTAAGATCGAAAGCTTAACACCAGTAGAAGGTATTTAAGTTCAGCAATATACAAATTAAATCTCCAATGCTCACATTTGTTTTGTTTATGAGGGATCTTATCCGTCAAAGCGATGAATTTTCCACAATTGCTTGCAGTTACCCTTCATGATATAATCCTTTGATATGGATAAAGCTCATTGTTTGATTTTGCTTTAAATTTCAATGCCCGATAAAAGAATTCTGCCTCTCGTACATAATGGCCAATGCATTAATAATGAAAAGTTGCAATAAATTGTTCATAATGGAAGCAAATTTGTTTTTTATACCTGACATTTTATAATGCTTTGTTGAGTGGTTTTACAAATATCACAGTTGATTGAGTATCCTAATCTAAATCTATAATGAATTCTACCTAATCTAATTCACTTTCATTATCTGCCATTTACTATTTAGCGTAGTATGACTTTTTGGTTTGGTCATTGATATGCTGATGAATCTGAACTGATTAAAGAGAATGTGACTGGGCTTTCCTTTAATTAAGTTGTTCCATTATGGAATATTTTGAGCTCACTATGTATTGAACTACTGCAAAGGTCTAAATCGCTGAGTCTATGACTTAACTATGACTTAATTTTTAAGGTTTTTAAGGTTTTTTTTTTTTTTTCAAATATGCAGTTTCTGATTATTGTAAGATGCGTATTACTTTGTTTATTTGGTGCCATATGAGAATCAGGACGTATGAGCAGAAGATGAACCATAACTGTACTTCCTTTTATTCATTTTTAAAGAAGGTTTTACTGTTTAGGTATGCATATACTAAGAAATACCATGAGAATTTTGGCACAAAAATTTAGAATTGGAATTTTTTAAAAGGCTCTATTTATTTATGATCATGAACAGTATTAGCTACAGTATGCCAATTCCAAGTCTAATTTATCATGAATGAGCTTTAGTCGAGCTTGGTCGCAAGTAGCTTGTCAAATGTTTGGCTTGTTCGCAACCCTAGTGATTACAAATGAATCTGTTTTACAAGCAAAAGGGCTGTGGATATAGTTTCGCTGTTGTTTTGAGTTGCTACAAATTTATAGCTATTGATCTTATTTTTTTGCTTTCAATTTTTTTAGTTTTGTGACAATTTCATATTAGATGCATATATAACATGATAGGGCTATAAATGTACCAATGCACTTGATGAACAACTCAAACTCGGCTTGATTAATATTTGATCATGTTTATTCAAATTAGTAAATAAACAAGTTTGAACATATTTTAAAAATTTAGAGTTTAAATGAATCAATATTGAACATAGTCTAACTTGTTTGTTGATGTTTATGAACAAATTCATTTGTTATTCAACAAGTAACTTGTTAAATGCTCTAGTCTTATATGATATTTTTTATTTAAATGAAAATTTGATTAATTAAAACTTATTTAATTTTATATATATATATATATATAACTTAATATCAATATAGATATAAAGTTCTTATTGTTCAATTAATATAAACAAGTCGAGTACAAATCAAGTATGAACATTAAAAAATTTAACCAAACCAAGTTTGAACATATATATGAAAGCTCAGTTTAAGCTCGAACCGAACATGAACAAATTATGATTTGACCAGGTCAAGTCCAATCCATGATGCACTCGACTCAACTTGGCTCGATTGCAGACCTATAATTTGGGTAATTTGAAGTTGTATAAGGGTTATCACATACTAAAAAAATTGAAATTTTACTGAAGTTTTTATTTTTATTTCATCTTCTTAGCAACTGTTGTGGGCTTTGGTAGTGAAGGCATGCCAATGCTAGTAACTATGTAAGCATCCTGATGTAGAAGTTGAAACTTGTAAATAGATAAGTGTTGTTTTTGTTATCCATTTTGGAGATTGTTTGACTTTTGTTAGAAGGCTTTTGCTTAGATTTCTTAGTTAATTCTGGATTTGCACTATTTCAAGCAATAACCTCCTTTAATCTAACATGTTTTCATTTCTCTAAATAATCTAATGCAATGTATCAAGCTTTATCATCAATTTAAAAATTCTGTCAGTATTCTGGCAATTTTAATACTTGGCTAGTTATATATGTTTTGATTGATCATTGGTGAAAAACCTTCATATTTTGTATCTTTTTTGAGTTTAGTTTACTATAATGAATGATATTTTGGAATTTGTAGATCATGTTGATAGGAGTGTTGGTGTTAAAAAGCCCAAGTATTCAGGAGATGAAGTGCCCTCTCTGACGGAGTTAAGTGGCTTCAATTCTAAGAGGCAGGAATTTGATCCTGAATATGACAATGATGCTGAGCAATCATTGGCTGAGATGGAATTCAAGGAAACTGACACGGATACTGATCGTGAACTGAAACTGCGAGTTTTACACATATACTTGTCGAGGTGGATCTTTATCCTTACTATATCTAATGCATGCTAATTTTCTAGGTTACTGCTCAACCTTCATGATGATTTATGGATATAGTTTATTTGGTTTATAGTTTATTTGGTTTTTGCTCGTCGTTTTTTTTTTTTGTACTATGAAGTAGGACTCTCTTTCATTTTTTGGTTTCATGTTTGTTCTTCTTCTTTCTGCCAGAGTTTGTAAAAGTTTGAGTAGTCTGTATTTGTTCTGTCTAGCTGTTCTGGGACTTTTCGTTATCATTCTGTATTTTTGTCTGAAATCTCAGTTTAGACTAATTAGTTTGTATTTTATTTTGCAATAATATCCTGCTGGGCATGGCATTCAGTTTACCCAAAAAAAAAGGAAAAGAAAAAAGAAAAATGTGTTTTGTTTATTCTTTCCCCATATTTGCACTTCATGATCTTTTTATTTTGTTTTTCACGCTTATTTAATTTGATATTTACTGTTGAACTCTACGTCATGATGGTAATTTATTTGGGCTGCCTATAGGCTTTTATTCTGCACAATAAGCTAAACCCAAAACTAACCATATTCCTTAAACATATCATCATCTAGCTGTTTCCATTCTCTGTGATATCAGCGAACTCTTAATTGAAGTTGGAACTTGTTTTTTCATGGGTCCAATTGATTTTGACACAGATTTTATATTTTCCATTGGACTGTTAGAATTTATTGATGGAGATTTTATTTTGAGCTTTCATGTTAGGCTTGAAGAGAGGAAAAGGAGAAAGGACTTCATATTAGAGAGGAATCTACTTTATCCTCATCCATTAGAAAAGGAATTGTCAAATGAAGATAGAGAGCTGTATCATCGTTACAAGGTGTTCATGCGTTTTCTATCTCAAGAAGACCACGATGCACTAGTGAGCAATGTTATTGAGGAGCGTAGAATTAGAAGAAAAATTCAAGAGCTTCAGGTATGGTAATTTGTTTGTTTTAACTCAAATTTATTCTTTATTTTAGAGGTGTGAGTCAATCTTACTTGTGACCTTGCTCGTCCTAAACTCGGTTCGATAAATAGCTCGTGAGCTAAGCTCGAGCCAACCATGGCTCAATTCATTAGCTTGCAAATCAGCTTGTTTAAAAATTATTAATATAAATAAACTTAAATTACCTGAATTTATTGTATTAACTACAAAATTATAAAAAAGTATTTAAAATCCAGGGCATTTACATAAATACCACACAATTCTTTTGTATTTATCTATCTAACACATAAACGATCATCTTTGTGTATATCACTCAAATATTTAACGTCACATAAAAAATACCAATATCATGGTCTTTTTAAAAATGAAATACACATTTTCATGCTTAGGTTTATGACATCAAGGTGCTATTAGTGTAATAACTAACTTTAGGTGTTAGATATGTAAATCCATAAGAACTGTGTGGTATGAATGTAAATCCATAAGAACTTTAGGTATTAGATATCTCAGGTTCTTATATCAATTCATTTATAATTTCTAACTCTTTTTTATCATTTTATTATTACAATTATTTGAAGTATAATCATTTTCTCTTTTATAACAAATGAGTCAGCTTGCAATCCAACTTGAAATCATAGAATTAAACCTGAGCTTGAACTCGATTAATTACTCAAACCTTAAGCTATCAATGACTCCAGCTCTGCTCAAATCTCTTACACCCCTATTTTGTATGACAAATCTAGTGCAAATGTGATCATATCTGTAGCTCACTCATTTCCTGAACATATTACCCAATTAATCCATAAACTCTATGCTTTCAGGAGTGCCGAGTGGCGGGATGCCGCACATTAGCTGAAGCAAAGATGTACACGGACCAGAAAAGGCGAAAGGAAGCCGAGGCCAACGCACAGAAAGCGAAGGAACCCACTGCTCTTATCAACAACAATAATAATAAATTAATGCAGAAGATAAATAAACCCATCAGTAGAGATAAAATTGATGAGGGAAGTCCCCTTAGCATGGTTGATAATCACAAAATAAAAGTTGCAGGATTAGATTCCAGCAGTAAAGACTCTCCTCTGACATCTGGGCAGCCTATTCTGAGATCTTTTGATGACTGGGATGTCACCGGACTTCCTGGAGCAGACTTGTTAAGTGAAACTGTAAGCAGGATCTCCAATTTTATTCTACTCTGGTTTGCAATTTGCTTCTATATTTTTCCTTCATTTTTCTAATTCTTATTATAAATTCATGATAATTCTTGCTATTTTGAGGTATTGTAGCTTTATAGTCTGGTTAGAACAGCAACAAGCCTTTTTTACCTCCTATTGAGTGTCATATTTTCATAATAATAATAGATCATACAATATGTCCAAGTCTTTTTAGGTCTACTCCTGCCTTTTTTGACACAAGTCGAATCTAAATTATCTACTCTCCTAACCGGACCATCAGATGGTCGACATTTAATGCGACCAAACCATCTAAAACGACTCTCTCAAATTTTGTCCGCCACTGGAGCTACACGAACCCCATCACGAATATATCCATTTCACATTTTATCTCTAATTGTCAAGCCACTCATCCAGCTACGCTTTTGATAGGCTGTTTAATGATCATAATTTTGCATTTTAATATTTTTTGCCAGGAACAAATATTTTGTTGCCAGAACAGACTATTTCCAAGCCATTATCTGAAGATGCAGGAAGTTTTGGTCCAAGAAATACTGAAAGGTGCAGTGGCGAAGGCAGCAGATGCCCATCAGCTCTTCAAGTTTGATCCCGACAAGATAGACAAGATCTACGACTTGGTGGCAAAGAAGCTCGGCCACACTGAGGATTTATTTAATGCTTAGTAATTTTTTTTATATTTTTTTATATTGTTGAATGTAACGTTTCCTTTGAAATTTTTTTAGAATTGTTTGAGTGGCGTCTTCTAATAATATGAGGAATAGTAGGTGCATTTTGTCTAAATTTAGAAGTATTATGCAAATTTCACTCCCAAATTATTGGAGGAAGTTTACATACATGCCACTTTTTTTTTTCTGTATTTATATATCTAACACCTGAACTTCAACAATGTTTACATTCATGCCATCTTATGCATGAAAAGGTGTATTTATTCTTTTAAAGTTAAAATGATGGTATTTTTTGATGTGATATGAAAGCTTTGGGTGGTATAAATGTAAAAATTAAAGTTTAGGTGTTAGATATGTAAATATGTAGGAGTTTAGGGTGGTATGTGTGTAAATGCCCCATTAATGTATTTACATGTATAATTGTAGTAGGTGCATATTGTTTGCGTGTAGTTGCATTTTGTATTAATATGAAGAATGGTAGGTGTATTTTGCTTACATGTAGATTAATGTAGGATACATGCAAATATTTGGGTAGCTATAAATGTGAAATTAAATTTAAGTGTTAGATATGTAAATATAATGGTGTTGGGTGGTATGTGTGTAAATGTCCCATTAATATATTTACCACTTAATTCTTATCCAACGCCTGGACTTCGATTTTTACGTATATGCCATCCAGCCTATGCATGGAAAGGTGTATTTCAGTTAAAAATAGAGATTTTAAAATGTAAAATCGAAATTACCAACCCTTTTAATACCATTAATGTTGGTGGCATTGATTGCATCAAGTCCATTCATACGTACAACTTGTTTACATGGATTGTTTTTTTTTCTAAAACCTGCATATGCATATATAGCTTGTAAAATGATGCATTTTACACGTGTTCGAGGAGAGCCGTCATTACCGTTAAACTAGTTAGAGGAATTTGTACTCGTGACCCAGTTTGCAGGTAGTGAGTAGGGCGTCAAAACGGTTTGTCTCGTGTTTGGCTTGTTAAGAAGCTCGTGTTCGGTTGAGAAGCCCGTGTTCGGCTCGTTTGCTAAGTTAACGAGCCGAACAAGAACAAATATTTGTTCGCTTGTGTTTGGCTCGTTTTGGCTCTAAATACTACCAATCAATTATATATATATAATCAATTAAAAGTATTAATGAAGAAAATAGAATAAAATTTATTAAACTAGATTCAAATGATGTTTTAAATTTTGTTCCAATCCTTAAACCTCTTATGACTACTCTTATGACTATGTGATTAGGGTTGTCAAAACGGCTCTTTGTTCGTGAACAACTCGTGTTCGGCTCGTTAAGCAAACGAGCCAAACATGAACACACTTTTTGAGCTCGAAATATAAACGAGGGGAGCGGCCCGCGAGCTGAGTCTGGGCTCGCTCCTGTTCGGCTCGTTTACACCCCTAGTAGTAAGTGTGGTCATCGAATAATTAGACACATGAGGTTGGCAGGGAGCTCGTATAACATTCTTCGGCCATCCTTTTAAGATAGATATATATATTTATTGAATTCTATGATTTGTAATTATAAAATGTATATATTAAATTCTACTTTAAAATTATGTCATATATATTAAATAACTTATTAACACATGCAAATAATCAATTTTATAAATATATATTAAAAAAATCTCACATTATTGTGTATTACAATTAGTTGGGCCCACCGACTCTGGAGAAGATCATACCTGCAGTATATATACTCGGGTGAAGATGAGGCAAGGGGAGTTTGAGAGCGAGGAAGGTGGAGAGTGGAAAAAACCTGTTGGCGATTCTGAAGATCGCGATCAATGGAAGGAAAATGGGTTAAGGTACTCTCATATTCTCTGTTAATTTTACATAAAATCCATGGGAAGAAGAAAACCCTAAATCTGCTCCTTCAGCGAGATCTTTACTCTACCTCTCTCCTTCTCATCAGTTTCTCTTCTCATCAGTTTCTTTGATCTTTGATTTTTTTTTTTTTTTTAAAACTTTTTTGATAGCAAGTTTATTAGGGTCTGAAGATTCAGATTCAGTAGATCTGGTGAGTGTTGAATCCTTGATTTTCAGTTAAAAGTTGGATTTAGGAAGGGTTTTAAATAAATGCTGGATTTAGCGTGATTTTGGCCAGGATTAATTAGATTCTGATGGTGCTAGGATTTAAGAGTCGAGTAGGATTTATTTAAATCTATTCAAATCATCAAAATTTTCGTATCAGCAACAGGCAGTTCATTTGTTTTATTGGATCAAAACGGGCTCTGTTCGGTAGCCTTTTTCACGTTTATAGAAAACCCTAATTCTGTTCTTCCAGCGAAATCTATCCTTGCTCTCTCTCTCTCTCTCTCCATCTCATATGTTTCTTTTTTATGGAGTGTTTGTTTATGGCAAGTTTATTAGGGTTAGAAATTCAGATTCAGTAGATCTGGCGAGTGTTGCATCCTTGATTATAAGTGATTGATTTAGGGTTTAGGGTTTAGTGTTTAGGGGCTGTTTGGTTTACCACTTGAAGTGGGATTTAAGAAGGGTTTTTAATAAAATTTAGAAGAATTTGAAAGATATTCTTTGAGGAGCACAGTGCTCGCACATTTATACAGAGAATTGAACATCTCAACTAAGCCTGCTTATGTCACAACTGCTGCGTGTTTGCACTTGCTTCTAAAATGGTGTTGGGAGCACTTGCATGTTGGTAGACCACTTTTCATGTTTTGACTTCTAATGATTTATCACGCAAATTGCTCACGTTCAGGTACAAAATTAATTTCTATTTTTATGTATAAACATACAAAATTTTAAATTGAATTCATCTCATTTTGTTAAATAACTTACAAATGAAATGAACAGTTGCTACTTACATGACCGCTGGAAATGAAGTGTGTACAGAGTTGAACTTGATGGAGTCAAACAAAGCTAGATTTAACTCTAAACCCTTCTATTCAATCTCACATTCCTGTCATATTTTGATCTTATATATAATTAAGTTTATAACTTGATATGCAAGATATTTGATCGCCATGTTGAGAATTATATGTAGTTTTGTTACATAGCATATTTTAGTTATTTGGATTGCCTGCATTCCAATTTGTTGGTAGCATGTCGAGTGGCACCTTCCAGATTGTGTTTTATGATAGTTTTCTAGCATTCAGTCTATGTCTATTAAACCTATCGAACGAGGTTTTAAGAGAATCGATGGGCAAGATAAAGTTGAAGTTTACTGGATGCAATATCATTGTAAGTATATCGAGATGTGGAATAATTGTCGTGCGTATATAGTATTATTAAACCCTACTCAGCCGCTAGAAACTTATTACCCCCATCACAAGGAGAGAGAATAGCGGTATGTGTTTAATATATTTTATAACTATTGTTAACTATTTTTATTATAATACATAATAATAAAATTAATTCTTTAATTGTACTGTAGATTAGCAAAGATATCTCAGAAAAATTTGGAGGAGATCGATCATGGTGGAAGTGTTAGCTTCATGAAACAATACTATGATGAGATATTGGAGCTCATGTAGGGTGAACAATCCATTCATATCGATTATACCACATTTGATCAGCCAAGTAGATATGATTACGAGGCACTGTCGTCTAATAGAACAAATGTCAGACCGTCTGACCCTTGTAGATGAACTTCTGATGCTCCAAATCGGTCGGGTTTTACTGTCGTGAGACAATTAGTAATAGATACTCCAAGGAGATCTTCAGCTTCCAGAACATGTAGATATCTCTTAAATGAGTCGTATGAATGACAATATCCAATCTTGACCAATCAACATTTGTGGGCCCCTCCTAACTATGCAGGACCTTGCGGATATATAAGACCCATCGATTATGCAGGATCATCGATATACGAGGATCCCTCATATAATTTAGAATTAACATCTATTGGAGAGGATCTAGATTTAAATTTTTAAAGCATTCTCATGTCTGCACCTACATCTATTGTAGGGTTATTTTTCGGTGCACCTCCAATTTATACACCACCAATACTCATGAATGAAGATAATATTATGTGTGCCCTAACAAGCTACGAATGATGTTGAAGAAGAATTTCAAGGCCATCATTTGTGAGATCGACCCCTGCGACCCACGTTCACGATATACACCGTGCTGGGGTCTTTTTATACTGGCAGAGAAGATAATGGTATTCTAAGAACATTATATTATGATAATATTTTATTCCAAAATAAATTATTTTGAATTTCATTTATTGTTAGTCTAGTCATTATGTTAGATTAAATAATTTTTTTTCCTACATAGAATATCGCATATAAGTCAAAATTGAAGGTTAGGTGTTATAATATATGTAAATACGTAAGATTTTATAAAATGGTATATATATATATATATATATAATTAATTTTTATAATATCGTATTAGGGGCGTTTTCTGTATAATATAGCTAAAATATTACAGTTCCCCTGGAAAAGCGTTTCTGCTCCTTTTATTTATTTATTTATTTATTTATTTTTATTTATTTGTGAACAGAAAGATTAGTGCTACTTTTTAAAATATCTCCATTATATTGTCAGTGCGGTGTTATAAATGAAGAATTTATTATTTATAAAAAGTGAGAAGATTTTTTATCCTGAACTGGTTGGTAAGAGATACATTAATAATTCAATTGTTTTATATCCTGCTATTCCATTTAGACATAATTACAATCTCGAATGTAGGGGTGCAAAGGAAGAACAGGAGCGGGACCAAGCTTAGTTTCTGTTTGGCTTGTTAAAAAATATCACTGTTCGTGTTTAACTTGTTAGTTTGGCTAGCTGAACACGAGCTGTTCGCAAATAAAAAATCTTTTTGACAACTCTTATCAACATCCATAGAATGGTGAGGGTTGGGGACCTGAGATGAGATTTAAATCTTATTATTTATATTAAAATATCATTTAAATTATTTAAATATATAATTTAATGATTTTTATTTTATTTTTTTTATTAATAATTTTAATTGATTATAAATTTTAGTAGCGGGAGACGTTTCGGCTTATATTCCTACTAATGTAATTTCTATTACAGATGGACAAATCTTCTTATCTGCCGATCTATTCAATGCTGGAATAAGGCCTGCTATTAATGTAGGTATTTCTGTTTCAAGAGTCGGATCGGCAGCTCAAATTAAAGCCATGAAACAAGTAGCTGGCAAATCAAAATTGGAACTAGCTCAATTTGCAGAATTAGAAGCCTTTGCACAATTTGCTTCTGATCTAGATAAAGCTACTCAGAATCAATTGGCAAGAGGTCAACGATTACGTGAGTTGCTCAAACAATCCCAATCAGACCCTCTCGCGGTAGAAGACCAGATAGCTACTATTTATACCGGAACAAATGGATATCTTGATGCGTTAGAAATTGGACAGGTAAAGAAATTTCTTGTTGGGTTACGTACCTACTTAACAAAGAAGAAACCTAAATTCCAAGAAATTCTATCTTCTACCAAGATATTCACCGAAGAAGCTGAAACCCTTTTGAGAGAAGCTATTCAGGAACAAATTGAACTCTTTCTACTTCAGGAACAAACATAAATGTAAATGGATCATTTTTATTATATTATTAATAAATAGAAATTCTTAATAAATATTTCATACATAGGTACATACATACACACATACATACACACATACATACACACATACATAGGTACATACATACACACATACATACATAGGTATATATATATATATATATATATATATCTATATATATTACAAGAAGGTTGATTGCCGATCAACCTATAGTCTTACTGAGGGGTGGATGCTCCTTCCAGACAGGCGTGCAATTCGATCATACTTAGAGATTGAACCCCCGACCCGAGTGGCTTACACCAAAGGCTGCAACCAATAAGTCAGGTTAAGGAGTGTGCGTGCACACACACACAAATATATATATATATATAT